CCAGGAGGATTTTTAAAACTATACAGAAATTAAATTCACAAAGATAACGCTCTACAAGTACATCTAAAGGTAATACTCTCGTTAGAGTGTTATTAAATTGCTTTGTTAAACATTGCCAGGTATCATAAAATAATACCTATTTGCTATTCTGGCTGTGCATTTTTATTTTTCATGTTGTACAAAGGTTCTTATATTATATAAAACTGTTAATAAAAATATTTAAGATATCAATATTTTGTTTGAGAAAATACCATTTATCGTATTACAGGTATGTGAACTATAGGTATATATTAATAATATTTTATATTCAACAAAAACTTGTATTTATATATGGAGATGTTTTATATATATATATATATATATATATACAGTTAAAGAAACTATTCTTATAATGATTAAATTACAATTAAAACATTATTTATTATTATTACTTACTAAAAAATGCATATTATACAAATAAACAGAAACATTCATATTATTTATGTAAATATGACTAAAATTATGATTATAATAATAATAATAATAATATAAACATATGAAATATGCATCTTTTAAAAATACTGTCGATAAGTAACATAATTATATAACGTTTTAATTGTAATACTTTTTACATTTACTGTATATATTATAAAAAATGGATATAACTGAATTTGAAACAAAATTAACAATTATTTATAAATGTACATTTATGTGCATCTGTAGCTTGCTAATCTACAAAGATGAGTACTAAGTTCTTGCAGTTGACGTAAACCTATATTTAATACATCTTGCCTTAATTTTATGCAACAATATACATCGAGGGGTTCTATATCAATCTCAATCAAATTCTTCCCTATTGATGTAGTCTCAGGTAGAAATGTTATCAATGTTTGATGTAAATTCATCAATGTTCGATGATCCATACAAGAATTTTTGATTTGTTCCATTACACTGCAATAAAATATAATTGTTATATATATACATTTAAATATATAAAATATATATTATATTATTTCATAAGTAAAAATTAACTTACGCGCTTAGACTGCATAATAATTTATTTACATTTGCTGCAAGTTCTGGTTGTATTTGTTTTACATAGTCTATAGATGGAAGTGGATTTAAAATATTATAATGGAAAGAACAGGGCATTCCAATCGCTTCGGCTGCCATACCACTGTACAATATAATCATAATCAATAATATATCGTAAACAAACATTATTAATTATAAAACTTACGACATATCGCGGGCATAAACATATGCCGCTTCAAAATATTGGAAAGCTTTTTGTGCTCTACGTTCCTGTTCTTCGACGTTATTTTCAATTCCAATTGTATTACATAATTTTTTATCATTTATTTCAATCTCATAATTATGGTATTTTTCTTTTAATTCCTTGGGGGAAAAAAAAGAAAAAAGAAAATAAAATAATAATATTATAAATTATTTGAAAATATTTTAATATAAACAAAAAGAATTACGAGATTAATTACATCAATTTTTTTAGAAATTCGTAACATTAAAATTGAATGTTTATCTACATTAACCATTTGTGCTAAATCGCTACATTTATTCAAGATATAGCTATTTTCCTTCAAAGTTTTTCTATCTGGAAAAAAAAAAATATTCAACTATTAATATAAATCTCCATATAAAACGATCATCTTATTAAATTACCGGATGTATTTTTAAATATCTGTAATAGTTCCTTCAGAATAACTTCTGCTTTTCTTTGAAACGATTCGCTTATAGCAGCTATCCAATGTTTTACAGCACACTGTAAAACAGTTACAGTTGTCCAAGGTGGTTTTATAATAACATATTTTTCCCAAGAATCACCATATAACATATGCATTTCTTTGCTAACTATCTGCAAAAATTTTTATTTTTTATTAAATTTTTTATTAAATCTTGCATTTCTCTCATATTATAATCTCTAATTATAATACATTAAATTTTATTTATATATTACCACTGTTAGAAAGTCTCTTATAATACTTTTTATATCTTCGTATATTTCATCTGATAAATATAATTCTTGGCATAAAATTGATGAAGAATCCAAATTGAAACTTTCATTGCTTTTAGAATTAGAAAATGATCTATTTACATAATTAGAAGCATTAAGATAATCAACTTTTTCAAATGGATCAGTTTTCCCAAGTGTTATAATATCGTAAATCATTGCTTTATTACAAAGATTTACATCATATGATAATAAGACCTGAAAAATAATTTGAAATTTGAAACTTGAGATATTTAAATTTTTTTGCTACTTTTCATATTGCTACTTCATATAACTTACAACAGATTTTCCTAAGTCACGAATTTGTAAACAAGTTTGTAAAATTTCATCATCTGGACAATCAGTGGAAAATTTTTCCTTATTTTTTGCAACATCTTCTGGTGTTTGACCAATTACATATTGATTTGAAGAAAAAAGTTTATTAATATAATTTATAGCTTTTCTCGCTTTAACGCACAATATTGTTGGTTTTGATTTACCATTATCATTTTTTATATAATCAAGTTCCTATAATAAAACATTTATTTATAAAATTAAAAAACTTTACTAAAATAAATAAAAAATATAAAAACTTACACATATTACAGTCCATGGTATTACAATTAATGAATGATCATAAGTTTTAAAAGCAGTTTCCCTTGCCAATTCAATAGTATCAATATTTGTTAAAAATACATTAGTATCAACAACAATATATAAATAATTTTTTGCTTGTTTTTCTGATAATAAGGGATATTTTAAAGTATTATTAGGTACATTGTAGGACATATTTACATTGGTTTCAGTACAAAGTTGAGTTCTAACAGCTTGAACCTATATTAAGAATATAATAACCAATATTAAGAATAATTTATTTTATTAGCATAAAATATTTATTTTTGTTTAATTTCGTATTTCTATTTGTAAATCTATTATTTATCATAAATACATTTATATAAAAAAAAAATTGTGTAAAATTACGATTAATAAGAATACTTGATATTACTTCAAACATAATTTTCTCATCTTCCAATGGTTCCCAATCCATTTCTTCATAGAAAGAATTCTCATTAGACCGCTTTATTAAATCATCTACAGTTGTTATTGATTCTGTAGAAGAATTTGCTACTTCTTTTTCTTTATCAGTACGTAAATTTTTATTAACAAAAGTTTTATCATTTAAAAATCTCTCCTTTAATCGCACCAATCTAACTTCTGCATTTTTATAAATATTTGGTAACTTTCCTATTGGATTATTTAGAAAATTAACAATAAAAAATTGAAATGTTAAAAAAAATATTATAATATTTACCATATAAATCTATAGAAGAAGAATTCGAAGTGCAAATACTCTCATTTAAATTGTCATCAGATTTTACTGATAAGCTTTCTCTTAACTTTTCCATACGTTCTTTTCCTAAATTTTTCTTCAAAGATCTTCGATTTGACTTTGTTGGTATAGTTTCAATTGAATTACCTTCTTCACTTTTTCTTTTCATTAAATTTTTTTCTCTTGCTATTATTAAAAAGTTTAATTTAAATTAGTATCTTTATAATTAAATTTTTTAATTATGTAAATAAAAACATTATAGAAAAATTATATTATAATATCTGTAATACACTAACCAATTTTTAGATTGTTTTGTTTTTCTTCCTCTTTTCTATTTTTTAAAGGAGATGAAATGACCTCTAAATCAACTTCCTGTTTACAGGAACTTTTCTTTCTTAATCGTGTTTTAATTATTTTTTGCTTATATATCATATTCTTTCTGACTTCCTCTACTTTTTTAGTTTTAGAACTTTTTGCATTTCTTTCTTGTATTTTTTCTAAAAGTATTTGCATTTGTGGTGTACAATTTGTTTTTGAATTTGAATGAATATCATGTTCTTTTGTATATGAACTGGTAGTTTCATCAACTTTTGAAGATTGTGATTTTATAGCATTCTTAGCTGATATAGAACTTTGAGTTTTAGGACTATTCTTTTCTTTCCGCTTTAACATTTTTTCTCGAATTGCTTTCATTTGTGGAGTTTCTTTTTCTTCATTATCTTTTTTCTGTGTTTGCCTAACAAAACGTTTTGCGACAAGTTTTTTTCTTTCAAAGATTTGATTTTTAGATTTATTGTATTCAGAAGTAGGAGATTGAACTTCATTAGTTTCATTGTCTTGTGTTGATTGTTTTCGTTTTTTAGAAGATCCATTTGATTTTTTCTTAATCTAATAATAATAAAGTCATTTATAATTATTTCATTTTTAATATCTAATTATAATATATTTATAGATCAAAAACTAATTATATTTAAATTATATTTAAATGATAATTAATATATAAATAATTAAGTTATAAAAGTATAAAAGTTATACAAAGATAAATAATAAAGAAATCTATAGGTTAAAATATATGAAAAAAAGAATCAAATATTTTTAACTTTTATCAAATATTAATATTGATAATATAAAAAAAATATATTAAAATACTTGTTCTGTCTGTTCTATTGTTGGTTTATCCCAAGATGATTGATTTGTTTTGATATTAAAATAATATATTCTATGTGGATGTGTCTTTGAGCTCATTTCAATCCAATTTGCTGGTAATTTATGTTTCATCATATTGAAAATAGTCGAAAAACATAAACATATAAAAACAAAATTTAATTACAAAGAGAATCAATTCAATTTCACAAAACGCGAATTTTTTATTATGTATCATTACACGCTCTCTTATAAACTTCAACGATGTAATAGATAATGACTGATCATAAACAAAATACATATGATGTCAGTCACGTGTTCCAAAACAATGAATTTATATGGAGAATGTCTTAATGATTCCATTAAATTTTGGAATATTTATGTTTCATATTCAAGATGAAAGATTTTAGAATAATTTATCAAATATGTTATTTTTAAATCTGTTTAACATATAATTGTGAATAAGAAATTTTACGTAGGGGATTTTTACGTTATTGTTTTGCTTCATGTATATAACTATCTAAAATCTCAGAAATGTGTTTTTCTTCTTCATACTATTGTATTGTTTTTTCGAAAAAAGTTCTTCTTTTTTAAACTATGATTTAATGTTTTCGTGATAATAAAAGATAAGTCGATATTTATGCAAAAGATTGACGAAACGTATGAATTCGATTGTTTCTTACACATATCAATTCAATTGTTTTTTACGTGTAACAATCTGCAAAGATATAGTAAATTACTTTAGTTTTATTATTTATTCCATCAATATACTATTAATATAAATTATTATACAAGCAATGTCACACAAATATCAAAATGTTAATGATTTATCAACAGTAGAATTTTCTGAAAATAATGACGAAGATTTAACATTTTTTTCGTATATAGACGAAGCAACAAAAGAATGGCTTAAATCATTAGAACAAATATGGCAAATATGTAAATATAAATTATAGTATAATAATATTTTCATATTCATTTTTGTTAATTATATTATATATTTTTAACAGGGAAAAAGGGTGATGTTGTAAATAAAACATTAATAGAATATTTTGATAGTGCACCTAATCCATATTTAAGTACAATACGAATATTAGTAAATACTTCAGATTTTAAACATATAAAAAAAAATTCATCATTAGCGTTTACAGGTTTGTATCTATAAAATATTTATGTAAACTGAAACAAGATATCATAAATAAGTTAATATGATAAATTAATATAATTATAAATTAATATTAAATAATATTAAAATTTGTTTGTAAATATATATATAAGCACACAAATTTATATATAATAACAATATTAAATACACGTATAGATATTGTTATAAATTCTTAAAAAGATATTATAATGTTATAAATATAAATAAATTTTTATGGATTAGTTATAGAAGAATATGCAGAATGGATAAAATCAAGAAAAGAAATGTATGAACAGTTCCTAGTTTTAGATTTAAAATTAGCAACATTTCAATTAATTATTAAGCAAAATAATATGGAATTTATTAAAATGGTTGCAAGTACATATAAGTTTGTAGAACATAAAGAAGAATTTCTTCATATAATACAGGTATTATACTAATTTAAATATATATTGTAATTTTTAAATTTTAGATTTAAATTTATATATATATATATATATATATATATATATTTATTAATATTGCATAACAAAATATATATTTTTACAGGAAATGATACAAGAAAAGAAATACAAAGAGGCAGCACAGTATGCGGTTATATTAAAATTACAAGAATCTTTTTCAGATCCAGAATCTTTAATATTACCACTTATTTTACAAAACAAATTAACAGTTGTAGAAGAATTTTTAACTGATTGTCCTCGTTTACAGGAAGCTTTAGTTTTGTATTTGGATAATTTAATTGGACCTGATAATAGTATGCATAACTTGCTAAATGAAATAATTATGTAAGTTCTAATAATTTATTAAAGAAAAGATTTTAAGTATAATAATATTTTTAATATATTGTAGAAAAAATAAAATACCAGATGTAAAGATGTCAATCACAAATACAAAACCTATGGGTAAATTAATAGCACGTTTTGTCAAATTGTATAATCTTCCATCAGAACTTTGTACTAATTTAAATAAAAAAAGATGTGAAGGTGTTTTACAGTATCTCATACATAAACGTTATAAAGAATATAGTTTAAGTATGTAAATTTTTTTAATAGTATAAAGTATCATATATACAACAATGAATAAAATAACAATTATTGTTAAATTAAGGTACTGATAGTTGGAGAGAAATGGTGCAAGATGCAGTAAAAGATGATGAAACATTACAACTAACTATGATAAGAATGTTACTTAATACCAAAGATTCAAGTGAAGCTTTATATTGGGCTAAAAAGTTTAACGTACCTAGAGAAAAATGGCCATGGATACTTTCATATGAAGAAGAACAAAATGAATCTGAAAGTAATAATTATTTTTTATTATTATTATTATTATTCATAAAATTATTAAAATTATTTTTATTTACAATTATTTTCATTATATAGGTATAAATGAAGGAGCTTCGACTAGCAAAATAAATGATTGGGAAGATGACAATGATTTTATGAATTATTATGAATTAAAGCTATCAAGGGATTCTATTAAAATAATAAATAATCCTTATAGTTTTGAAGAGTTTCTTGATAAAGGATTAGATGGTGTCTCTATTGTTGGTATTGATTCAGAATGGAAACCTTGTTTTGGTATTTGAATATTTTAAATCACTAAAAAATCATTTTTTAAATCAAAAAAAATTCTTTTTGCTATAATATAATAAAATAATTGTGATTATTATCATTATTAGGTACAAAACAAACAGAATTAGCTTTAATACAAATAGCTACCAAAGATAATGTATACATTATAGATGTAACTACAATGGGAAATAAGTTTACAGAATTATGGGCAAAATTAGCCTTAGTTTTATTTGAAAACAAAAATATTTTAAAACTTGGTAAAATTTTCATAATTATAAAATTTTTATCTTAAAGATATGAAATTAAATAATATGAAAATTAAAATTAACTTATGATATTCTATTTATATTTATATTTTTATTTATAAATTTATGATTTAGGTTTTGGAATAGCTCAAGATATGACTGTTATACGTAATAGTTTGCCTGCATTATCGAAAATAAAAATATATGGACAAGGATATTTAGATATTGTAAATTTATGGAAAAAATTGGTAGAAGATTATAAATTTGTTTTTCCACATGAAAGTGATGATCAATTTACTAAAAAAAATTTGAGTAAGCTTGTAGAACTTTGTCTTGGACAAAAATTAAATAAATCTGATCAATTTTCTAATTGGGAGCAAAGGCCATTAAGAGAAAGTCAAATAATATATGCTGGTTAGTTATTTTTTTATAAATTTAATTTCATTAATTTTTTTTTTTATTATTACAATATATGTTCACATAATATTCAAACATAATTATATAATTATATATTATAACATTGTAGCATTAGATGCATACTGTTTGTTAGAAATATATGCGACATTAGAAATTCAATGTGAACATTTGGAAATACCATTTGATGATGCTTGTTTAGAACTGCAACATATTCCATTTAAATCATCATCACAAAAAAATATAAGAAGATTAGCACAAAAGGTAAATTTTTCTATGTTACAAATAATTGTGTAGAATATTTACAATTTATTAAAATATATACTTTTTAAACATTTATTTTTAGTCCCATGTAGGTAAGAATAAAGGATATGATAAACAACAAAATTTTCAAAGAGATTTACCAACAGAAAAATTAAGAAATTTTAGGAAATTAAATTGTCAAAATCATATTTCTAACAAATCAATACAATCAACATTATCGATGAGGATCATGAATTTAAATGAATCGCATAACATAAATAAATCAACATGTCACTATACAAAACAAACAGAATTTCATGTAAACAATAAATCTCTGAATATTGAGAAGTTTATATATAAAAAAATACACACATGGCGTGTAGTTTGTGATTCAATGTTAGGTGGATTAACAAACAAATTGCGAATGTGTGGATGCGATTGTGTTCATTTTGCATTTGATCAGGGTGGAGAACGATGTGTTAAACTAGCAATGCGTGAAAAAAGAGTGTTTTTAACTCGTAACAAAGGATATTTAAAAGTAAATTCATAATTTTAATTAATCTAAATAATATTATTATCAATTATTATTTTAATATAATATATAGTTTTTTATTTTATTTATATAGTTTTTACAATACATACCATCTGAAGATTGCTATTTTGTATTGTCTGACACTCCTGATGAACAATTAAGAGAGGTATTAAATCACTTCAAAATTGCGGTTACGCATAATGATATATTTAGTCGATGTCAAGCTTGTAACAGTAATGAATTTTCAAAAGTTCGAAAGTCATTAATGTATGAACTTTCGAAAAGGTTATTTAGATAATCTTTTTTATGTAAAAGTATTCGTTAAATATAAAAGTAACATTAATACATTTTTTTTTTAATTTTTCAGTTATGCTGAACTAACTGGTAAAAATAATTATAACTTTTCTTCAAATCCATCGTATCACGATGATACATATTCGTATTTAACAACGGATGCAGAGAGTAATGATTTGGAACACAATACCAATTTGAAACACAATAATGATGATCGTCCGTGGATACTTAATGTAATATGTTCTGTGAATGTCAGTACATGTTCAACGAAATATCAAGCAAGAATACAAATTGATCAAGTACCAATGAAAGTATTACAGAATGTACGATTTTTTTATATTTGTGATCGATGTGGAAAGATTTATTGGAATGGAACACATTTAGAACGTACTCTTAAGAATTCTATTAAAGACATTCTTATGCCTACTACATTGATTTTAAAGAAATGAAGGATTAAATAATGAAGACATGTTTAAATTATTATATCCCATTTTAAGATATTTAATATCTCAGAAAGTTTTGTTTTGGTTATTAATTAATATTTATAGTATAATATGCTGAATTTTGTATAAACTTTGTTTAAATATCAAGAATAATATTTTATATATCTTATAAAAATATACTTTATACTATTTTCCATTAGTTATAAAAAACATATTGTAAACAAAAAAAATATAATAAAAGTATTCCTATCTATTCCTTTTATTCCTATATATTTCTTTTTAAATATTTATTTTATTTTTATATTTTAAGATCAACAAAACAGATATTGGGCAAATATATTTTTTAATTATATTTCTGATAAATGAAAATTAAATAATTACGTAAGCGTTTTATATTAAAGATTTTGTATAAATGTACATTATAATTTTGAAAGAGGAATGGTCAAATTATGTAAAAATATTTTTAATATTGCATACCGTTTTTGTGATTATGCACCGAAAGCAGATCTCTTTGTCCATGAAATATATGCACTCAAAAAGCGGCTCCAATATCTGATTAAATTTGTTTTTTAAAATAAAAATATAAAAATGTACATAAAATTGAAATATAAATATATATATATATGTAATACGCTTGTAATAGAAATATACAATATTGCTAAAAATTATACAGATTGTATTTAAATATGAAATAGGAACCTTTCATTTAGTTATGAATGTGAATTCATATCAATACATATAAAAATGGATTTGTTAATTGATTAACAATTTCATAAGTATATAGATTTAAACAAAAAATTTTTTATCATAGTATATAATCAGTAATTTTTATTTTACATATAATTTGAATGAAATATAATTAATATGTTTATATTGCGCAATATACTACACTATAAATATAATATAATCTTTTATACAATGAAAAATTTTAAATAATCATTTTTTATACTATGGAGTTGATTTGTATTTTAATTTTTTCAAAATATATAAATATTTTTTTTACTAAATTGTGGTTTCTTTCTTCCTTTGTAAAAGTAAATTTTTTTTTATAAAGATATTACAGATAATCAATGTAATAATTATATTATATATTAAATATATTATATTAAATAAAAATATCTTCTACTAACTAGTTAATAATATTATATAGATATCTTTTAAAATATCGCTAATGTTTATTTATTGTGTGCCTGGATTATATTCTTCATATTCTTGCAATTCTGTAAGATCTTTCTTTCCAAAAGGTGGAGGTCCAATTAATGCTTCTATATCTTTATATGTCAAAGTTTCTTTTTTTAAAAGAGTTTCTGCTAACTATATATAAGATAAAAAAATTTATTAATGAGAATATTTTCTTTGATTTAATATTTTATTTAATATATTTAATAATAATTATACGTACTATTATCAATTTATCTTTATTATCTTGTAATAATTTTTCAGTTGTTTTATATGCTTCGATTATTATTCTTCGTACTTCCGCATCCATTAAACTTCCTAATTTTTTACTATATGGTTTTTTAGTTCTCTAAAATTAAAAAATAAATTCAATAAAAAATATTAATTAATAATATATTACTATTTTAAAAATATTAAATATATTTATATCTTGTACCATAGTTGTTAATTCTTTATCAAAAGAAACTAAACCCACAGAAGGACTCATTCCAAATTGTTGAACTTGACAATATGCCATTTCCGTTACTTTTTCTAAATCATTTTGTGCACCAGTTGAAATTTTATTAAACATTATATTTTCAGCAACTCTACCACCTAATAATACACACATACGTTCAAAAATATGTTCTGAACTTTGAAGTTTCAGATTTGAATCGGAAAATTGAGAAAAACCCAAACGTTTATTTGTTCTTGGTACTACAGTTATTTTAATTAAAGGATTTGCACGTTCTAATAACCATGCCGTTAATGCATGACCAGCTTCATGATAAACAATAACTTTTTTCTCAGAAGGTGTCAATGTACTAGATTTTTTTATTGAGCCACCTAATATTTTATCAACTGCATACATGAGGTCATTATTGTCAACTTTAATCTTTTTTTCACTTGCTGCATGTAATGCAGCTTCATTACAAACATTTGCTATCTCAGCTCCTTAAAGAAAAGAAATATTGTTCAAAACAAAAAAATTAAAACAATTTAAATTCAATAATTATACATACCGCTAAAACCAGGAGTAAGATGAGCTAAATATTTAGAATATTTTATTGGTTTATCTTCCAATGATAATGACTGAAGATGATATTCAAAAATTTGTCCTCTCTCTTCTAAAGTAGGAAGATCAATCAAAATATGTCTATCAAATCTACCACATCTTAATAAAGCTTTATCCAAAACTTCTGCTCTATTTGTTGAAGCCAAAATAATAATATCCTTTGCTGCTATCATTCCATCCATTTCTACTAAAAGTTGATTTAGTGTTCTCTCTGATTCAGAATTAGTGAATTCACTGAATGAATCTGATCGTTTTTTGCCTATTGCATCAATTTCATCTATGTAAATAATACTAGGAGCTCTTTAAGAACAAATAATATGAAAATTAGTTTAATTATAATAATAATAATAATATTATTTTTTCACAATAATAACAACAACAATAATAAAACCTTTTTTTTGCTTCTGTAAATAAATCCCTAACACGTGCTGCACCTAATCCACCTATTAATTCAGTGAATTCAGACCCATTCATTGATAGAAATGGAACATTTGATTCAGTTGCAACAGCTTTAGCTAAAAGTGTTTTACCACAACCTGGGGGTCCTAAGAGTAAAGCTCCTAGAGATAAGTTGATTAAATTATAACATATTTATTATATTATATTATAAATGTATAATATTTAACATATGTAAAAAAAATTATAGATTTTTAAACTGTAAGAATTCTAAATACCTTTAGGTACTTTAGCACCAAGTTTTGTATATCTTTCAGGATTTTTAAGATAATCAACAAATTCCATAACTTCTATTTTGGCTTCTTTTAAACCAGCTACATCTTTAAAACGAACACCTCTACCAGAAAAAGGTTCCACTAAAGTATATTTTGCCTTATTTATAGAAGTAAAACTCTTAAATTTCTTTTTTATTACTGGAAGGAAAGATGCAAAAAATAGACCAACTAATAACACTGTTTGAAGAAATTCTGATATAGCCAATTGCTCATTCATATGAATGTATCTAATTGAAATGCCATCCTCTAAAAATTAATAAATTAATATATTTTAATATGAATCAAAATTAAATTATAGTTAAAATCAAATTAGTATATTCTTATTATACCCATTCTAATTCCAATGCGTTTTTCTAATGCTCTAATTTTTTCTTCAACATTTTTTATGTCAGGGACATCATAGAATTGAAGATGTCTATAAAAAATATATTTTCCTTTATATGTAGCACCTCTTTTTAGTGTAGCTTGTACAAAATCTGGGTAAATCATAATTTCTTGAACTTGACCTTTTAAAAGTATTTCATTTATAAAATCATTCCATTGTATTATTATAACCTAGTATAAAATAATAATCCAATACGTAATTATACAAGATTATTATAATTGATAATAATTTATTTATATACTTACAAAATGCTCAATGAATCCAGAAAATAAAATATAGTACATTAAAAATAAAACGAAAATGACAGACACTTTGAAAAATAACATATTAATTTCATTGGATTTTTTGGGATCCTTATTAGGATTGTCATCAGAATCATCATTGGATGTTCGTTGATTTTTAGTAGAAGTTGTACTAAAACTTCTTCTATTACACAATTTTGAAAAATAAATTGTAAAAAACTCATTTTTTGAAAGTAATGATTGTATTTCAGATAATTCTTTACGTTTTATTCCACATAACTAAAAAGACATTTTCTCATAATTATTTTATAATGTAAAATTAAATTACCCAAATATATTTACCGAATGTGATAATGGACATAAACATAACCTATTCATGTGATTATGAAAATTAATATTTGTAGACAGGGCATTAAATACTTCATGTTTTTTTAAATTACATTTAAATAAATATCCAAGAATTTTTCGAGAAACGACATATTGTCGTTTTAAATATATTACAGAATTTTGCATATTATATCATGCAATATAAAATCACGTGTAAATCTATTAACATCTCCACTTTAATACATCTAATTACAGATTTCTTGTAAATAATTTAAATAGTATATTATAGTATACTGATAATATTTCAACATTCAATATAACAGTCTAATTTATATTATAGATACATTATGAGATTTATATTTTTTATATTAAAAATTAAAGCATATTAGTAAATAGATTTAAAAAAAGAAACCATGAAAAAAATGTATTTAATGATGTAACCAATCCTGTATATAATCTCTACTTATGTGCTAGGATTGAATATAAACAAGAAGAGCAAATAGTGGGAGAAAAATAAAAATAAAGTAAAAAAGATTGACGATCAATTTTTATATCTCTGTTTTTCTTTCTTTCCTCTATTTGCTCTATAATAAAATACAGCAAAAGTAAATCATTATTGATTAATAATCTAAAAAATTTTAAATCGTCGATATTTATTTATTACCTATATTACATAAATACTTTATTGTTTATAATAATGATATATATAAATAGATATTTATACATGTATTTAAACAAAAAAATCTTAAATCATTAATATTTATTTATCCATATTACATAAATATTTTATGGTTTATAACAATCATATGTATAAATAGATATATTTAAATAAAAAAATCTTATAAATTAATATTATTTTCCTATGAAATATAATAAAAAATATGAACGAAATTTTTAATTTACAAATAATTTAACTAATAAATAAATATATCTACTTTATTTATAGTAATCAAAAGATTTATGACACAATCAAATACATGTAATGTATAGAAATACCAAAAAATATATCAAAGGAATTATTTATAAAACCTTCATTTTGTTTAATTTTTGTAATTAAAATAAATACATCAACATATTTAAACAATTCTTTTTATTAATTATTTATGAAGTTTTATTTGTCAAAACAAAAATATATAATAAAATATATATATATGAAACACAATAAAATATATTGTTTTAACATCACCCAATATCA